AATAAATTCTAGCATTTAATTATTTTTAACCACTTTATTAGAGTGTAAAAATCCGAACTATGTTTAAGTAAAATGCAAAAAATAAAAAAGTGATTACTACCTGAATCATAATGTTTACACGCGTTTGAGATACAAAGTTGGGGTGAGATTAATCTACATAATTAAATAAGAAAAAAATTACTAATAAGTAAAGTTTTAGTTGATTTCAAAGTCCTAAATATTAGGAAAACAATTAAATGACCATTCTTAAATAGTACGGAATTAATTAAATGAATATTTCTAAATATTAGAAAATAACAAAATGATTATTTTGTCTAGTGTAAACTTTAATTTTAAAGGGTAAAAAAGGCGAACAATATTTCGCTAAAGGCCTTCATGCTTTTAACATAGTACTAGACACGAAGGGCTACAACTTTTGTTTTTGAATCATCTCAAAATTCCTTGTATATCAAAAGATATAAGCTTCCGAAATCGGACCAGTGAAATGTTCTTCACCGCGGACCGCACAGAATCTAGTGCAACCGCACAGGCCCCTCCGCGGCAGCACTCCATTTTGTGTGGACCGCACTAGTTTGTTCAGGGGCCTTCCACTTCCCTGAGCCTGCAACAACTATGTTTTAGGCCTAAGACATCCCAGAACCTACCCGAAACTCACCTGAGCCCTCGGAACTCCAAACCAAGTGTGCATACTAACTCAAAAACATCATATGGACGTACTCGTGCGATCACATCATTAAAATAACATGTAAAAATCATGAATCAAACCTCAAAACTCGATATTTTCATCAAGAACTCTCAAAGTTCATAACTCTTCAATCGGAAGTCCAACTCACGTCAAATAAATCCCGTTTTCACCAAATTTCACAGTTATCTTTCAAATACTATAACAAGTTTGTACCGGACTCCGGAACAAAATATGAGCCCGATAACAATGGTTTCAAACATTAATTCTTTTCTTTATTTCTTAGATAATTCAGTAAAACAATTTCTTGCAAAAATTGATTTCTAAGGCTTGGGACCTCGGAATTCATTTCGGGGCATACCCAAGTCCCATATTTTACTGCGGACCTCCCGGGATCGTCGGAACACGGATCTGGTTCGTTTGCTCAAAATGTTGACCAAAGTCAACCATAATTAAATGTTAACTCTAGAATTTCTATTTCTCATATTTTCATATAGAAGGCTCTCCGGATATAGATCTGGACTACGCACGTAAATCAAAATGGAGTAAAAAGGTTCTTAGGCCTCGAAACACTGAATTCACTTGCAACACAAGTGATGACCTTTTGGGTCATCACACGTGTGCATGGAGAAAACATGAAAAGAAGCAATATTATCACTAAATTCGTAACGTGCACCATAAACTAATATAGTAACATTCTTTTATTAAGGTTCTGTTAGTTCAAGTAAGAAATAATTTAATAAGAAAATCTTGGTTGATTTTAATGTTCTAAATATTAAGAAAATTAACTTAGATTACAATTTTATCAAATATAAAATTTTATTCAAAGAATCACAATGAATATCTGGATGCTCGAAATTTAACAGAAAAAAGAATTTAGACATATACAAAGATTGAAAATAAACAGAGTTTATCAACATAGTTTTTTTTTGGTTTCCCATCCGATATCCGCTACCCACATTGGAGCTCGATTATATCCGGATTCGCGCCGAGTAAGGCCCCATTAGGAGGGTAGCGCTTCCTACCAAGGATTTTTCCATACCCAGAGCTCGAACTCGAGATCTTTGATTAAGGGAGGAACAGCCCCATCCACTACACCACATCCTTTGATGGTGTTTATCAACATATTATGATAGATGACAAAATAGATTCATGCAAACAAATAGTATTTGTTATGTGAAAGCAGATGGCAATAGCTGAAGGTGAACTTTCATCAGCACGGTTAAAAAGTTAGAACTAATACTTCTTAAAAAATTATATAAAAAATAAATAAAAAGGAGCTCTACGTAATGACTTCGATAATTTTGGTTAAGTTGATAGGATTTTTGCATTATAACTGTTTATAAAAATTAGTTATTAATTTCAATAAGGACAAATAAGAAAGTGGTTGAAATCACTTCTAAAACTTTAGAATCCTAACGAATCAACAATTACTTTGTTGGGCGTTCTAGGAAATATGTATGATTTCAAATAAGGAAGGAATTATTAAGTAAAATTTAGTTGATTTTAAAGTATTAAATATTAGAAAATATTAGGAGTTTCTACACAATTCAAATAAGGAAAGAGAGTTTTAGTTGATTTTAAAGTCCTAAAAATTAGAAAAATTATTTAATTACGATTTTGTCAAATATAAAACCTATTTTTAAAGGGCAAAAAAGGCGAACGAAATTTCGCTAAGTGGTTTCGTGCTTTTAATATAGTATAGATAGATATAGATAGATAGATAGATTAATTTCGAACATTTTTTATAAATACTGTTAATTATGGAAAATTGTTAAATATTCTTATTCTGCTACGAAATTTCCAGTGCCACCACAAAATTCGCATTCACATCCAAACATTCTTATTGGGTAAGGCTTCCAAATACGAAATCTTCTTCTTCGTCGTCGTCTTTATTTTTATCTCCAAAATCGGTTAGACAATTAACCTTTTGTTATTAATTTTTCATACTGAAACAATTTTTTTATTATAAGAAAATAATAACCCAAAGAATTTTCCAAAAACAAAAAAAAAACTATTTCACGAGTTTTTATTATCACTACTTTCTGCACGCTAGGAGGTGCCTACATTCCACCCCACGGTCCCAACAACTTTTCTCCACGAGTCTATATTTTGCTAGATTTGTTTTTTTGGTTTCCCATTCGATGTTCGGTATCTGTATTAGAGCTCGATTATATCCGAATTCGTGTCGCGTAGGGCCCCATTCGGGAGGAAGCGCTCCCTACTAAGGATTTTTTCATACTCACGGCTCGAACCCGAAACCTCTGGTTAAGGGAGGGACAGTCTCATCCACTGCACCACATCCTTTGGTTGTATTTTGCTAGATTTTAGCTTTTGCACTCCCCTCAATGATCAGTTTTTGTATAGAGCTAATGTGTAGGTTACGAGTTCGGGGTTCGGCAGAACTCAGTAATTTTAATACAAACTATGTATTTTCTTAAGAAATTTATTGTATATGTACAAATTATTAATTTAAAATCCAGTTTCAAAAGTTTATCATTATTCGCTTGGCGTGTTTAAGATCACAAAATTTAAAATTTTTCTTATTACATATAATATTATGGAGTATAACATATTTAAGACCATAACCTTCATTTAAAAAAAAATATAATAAGTCAAATTATGTCACATAATTTAGAACGGATAGAATTATGTTTTTTATGACAGGTTCTTGAAAAAGGGGTAGGCTCTTCTTGCAGACTGCGCAATTTCATGTAGTCATATCTCTCTATAGCAACTTATTTGTTTCGAATTTTTCAGCTTTGTAGTAAATTATTATTATCGAGAACATATATTATAACATAACATGAAATTAATTTCATAAAAGCTTGACTTTTATATTGAATAATTGTTATATAGCGATGTTGTTATAGATATATCACTGTACAAACAAATTCATTTGTTCAATCAGATGAAAGCTACAGAAAACGAATAGAAGCATGCGTTGAATTGGTTGGTTTGTGTTTCTCAGACTCTGACATTTGAAGGGATAAAATTAAAATTCAAGGAGTCCTTTTGTCTATTTTGCTCTATTATTAGGTTTAGGTGGGCATACATATCTTCGACATGTTTATACATAATGGTGAATGTCCCAAGAAAAGATTAATGACGACATCAAATTTATACCATAATGTGAAACTATAATAGAAAGTTGAGGGTGAGAATTATGGTAGAAAGTGTGAATGACGAGAATTAGGGTAAAAGGCCAGTAGGCAGTTGAACGTTTTTCTTTATCATATCAGTAGTTTTAGTATTATTCTCGTATTTTCTTATCCTTAGATTTCTATATTACATGTTATTTCTTTTGCTTATGTTATCCTAATATATGTCTTGCTATTGATACTGCTTCTCTTTTACGACTTTTTCACTATTATATTTCTTCTTAAAACTGCTATGATTGTACTTTTTTTATCGGAAATAACTTCTCTACCTTCGCAAGGTAGGGATAAACCTGCATACACACGACCCTCCCTAAATTCCACTTGTGAGATTATACAAGGTTGTTGTATAATAGAAAGATGAGACAACGAATCCAAAAATAAATGGCAGACTTCTTTAATTTGTGTCTCTTCTAACTTTTTTTTTTTTTGGCAATGCACCTTTGTTATTTTCAAGTAAAAGTCAAATTTTTGCAACAAGAATGACCTTTTATTTTGGTTTAGTGGTGTCGTATTCATGGCTAGAAATACATGGTTCACCTTGATCCTGGCATTTATGATCGCATACATTATTTGTAATGTTTATTTCCTAGGCAGATTTACTCATGTTTAAAGTATGACATAAGTCTTGTGAATATCATGACTTCAATTTTTTTTATATGCTTTTGATCACCTCATACTTATTTTTCCAAGGTCGGTAAAAAGAAGAAATTATGGGTAGCAATGGTAAAGTTATCCGTATAATCTATAGGATACGGGTTCAAACTGTGAAAGCAACCACTAATGCTTGAATTAAGGTAGATTGTTTACAACGCACCCCTTAAGGTACGGTCTTTCCCCGAACTCAACGTAAAAGTGGGATGTTTTGTGCATCTAGCTACCCTATAAGAGTTGAGAGTTGATATTTTTTCTAAGAGTATCATCTATAGTATTCATTAGTAGCTTGTAGCAATCTTGTCTATACATCAATCCACAAATCGAAAATACTCTTTATCTCGTATTGCTCTCTCGATACACAATCTAATATGTAGCAAGACTTACTTAAATTCATCGTAGCCTGAAAAATGATAAACTGTTATTATTTTCCGGAATGTATTACGAGTGAAACAGCTTAGCAGCCAAGAAAAAAAGGCCAAAAAATAACAAGATCATGGGAATAATTGGTACAAATAGTTAGTATCTATTATTGAAAATACAACAACATATGTTATGACTCAACAAATGCTCATAATTTTGTAAGACATGAACTTAAGGAGCATCATTTTCCTTTATTTTTTTGGCCCGAGACAGAAAAAAAGGCAGCCCGGTGCACTAAGCTCTCGCTATGTGCCGGTTCGGGGAAGGGCCGGACCACAATGGTCTATTGCATATGCAGTCTTACCCTACATTTCTGTAAGAGGCTGTTTCCACGGCTCGAAACATGTAACCTCCAGGTCACATAGCAACAGATAAATTTATTTAACTAATGCTGCAGACTGAAGATTACACTAATCCTTCCTAATAACACAAAGTTTTATCAGTATATTTACATATCATGGTAATGAAATTAAGAACTACCTATCTATTTTTGTTGGATTTTTGGAGAAGAATCTGCTGCTGTTTGTAATGTTGCTGATGATGATACCTCCGAAACTCTTATCTGTTCAGGATCTTCAATATCAATAGCTTGTTCTCTGAACTTCTTATATATATCACCTTTGTAAAATTTCCTTGTTCTAATAACCAGAATTAAGGAAACAGCACAACTAATCAATGTAGCTCCAGTAATTACAAGAAAAGCCAATTTGTAACATTCAACTCCAATGCATGTTAAATCTTCACCATCTTTCCTTTTTAGCCCTTTTGCTAACATTTGCTTTGTAGCCACTTTATCATATAAATGTCCAGCCACTTTAACATTAAGCAAATATGCACCAACAGGGCTAGCACCAGCCCCAAAATTATACAATGTGGAGTAGTATTTTAACCCGAAGAGTTCAGATATAATCGCGAAAATTAAAGGCCATTGAGCTCCAAAGCAAAATCCCATCAGTACAGAGGCGAGATAGAGAGAATTAGGGACGCCAAACGCGATGAGTAGATGACCAGCACAGGAGAGTAGGAGGACTAATGTGAGCATCATAGGACGCGGGCATTTGTACTTTGTCAAGAAGATTTCAGATACAAAACCAGAAACAACTCGTCCGAGGTAATTCCATATACTTACTAGTGAAACAAATGTTGTGATGCTTTTTTCGGGGTAGCCTAAGGCCTTCCCTATTTGGCCTAAGTTGTCGATTGCAGTTAATGTCCCGCCCACGCCAAATGTTGTAGCTGTGAATAAAATGATCATGTCTATACTGAAAAGTGCTTGTAATATTGTATAATCATCTCCTCTTGGTGGTGGATTGAACACATTGCTAAAGCAAGAAGTAGCCTTTTCATCACATTCTTTTGGTAATTCAGGACTCGAAGCTAGCTTTTGAGGCCGAGTCAACTCTACTGACGGCGGATTTTCACTAACAACTTTCAAAATGTGGTCATTCAATGCTTGTTGTTTAATATTCCAAAGTTTAAGATCTTCTTTAAAGACAATAACTAGAGGAGCAAAGAGCAAAATTAGTACTACTGCTGCACTACCTGAATACTCTGGCCTTGTAAAACTGACTTTATTTTGAATAATAATAACAATCATAATAAAACCAGCAAGACCAAGTGAAATATAGAGAAATTTATAGAAAATTTTGGTCTCATTACTTTGTCTAACCACTTTCATAATCCGAATCGTTCGAAGAAAAATACAAGACACAACTGCTGGAAGATAACCGATTAATAAAATCAAAGATTTACCATTATTTCCATAAAAAGCATGGTATAATTGAGTAATAATAGCACCACTTAAACCAACAAAACCTTTTAATAATCCTAAAACACTTCCTCTACTTTCTGGGAAATTCTTAACACAAGTAACTAAAGCACCGGTATTAGCAAATGTTTGTGAATTTGCACCAATACAAATATACAAACACATTTGCCAAATAGCAGGTTTAGCTATATGTCCTGAAACTGATAACCATATCATAAAATACCCAAAAAAATTCATAATTGCTCCTATAAATAAAACAACCCAAGGTGGAGTTACCTCATTTATTAGGCCTGAAATAATCCCAACATTACCACCTAAATCTTTGAAGAAACTTAACAAATTTAACGTCGTTTGATCATATCCTAACGACGATTTGATCTCTCCACTGTAAAGACCAAACATGTAAGTTGCACCAGCCATTGACATGATTAAAAGAGAAGCAAAAACCATGAACCATCGACTTGTGAAAAAATGGTGGACGAAATTCGCCATTGATCTAAGGCTACCATTTTTGTTCATCATTTTCTTGATTTAGGATAAGGATTTTGGTGATTTCAGCTTAGTGTACTATGGCACGTATATATATTTGTGTGGTAGTGTTAATGATTTACTTGAGCTGTATATGTAATCTGAATTTGGAATGGAATTTTACATTGACTTTTAATAGTTGAATATTCTTTTTTGCTTTTTGCAAGTGGAGGGTGGGCCTTATAATAAGGAAAATGACAACTACAATTTTCTCAATCTTAAACATGTAAATAGCATGTTGTACAAGATGAGACTATTCAATGTATCTTTTCGTGTGAATGTTAGTTCTGGAGTGTCCTCCCGGACAGCAATGAAGTCAGGAATTTTCTTAAAAGTATTCAAACTTGAAAGAAGTGAAAAAAATTCTCCGATAAAGGATATTCAGTATATGTTAGATACCTTTAAAACCTAATATTTACCTATCTATATACGTAGTTAATTTTTGGATGAAGGGTGATCAATTGACCACCCTTTAAGACATGTAGCTTCGCCCCTGCTCTCGGGACGACTTCAGAATTTAAATTCGATGGCTTCGACATTAAGTTCTTACCACTAAATCATTGCACTTTTATATTAACTATAAGTTTAATCAAATATTGAAGTTTTAACAATATTCACTTATATAACTACTCTTTCTGTCAAGAAGTACTGGTCTTAGTTGAACTCGGTAAAACCAACCCTACCTGTCTCTCAGTCAGTACCACATCCAATATGCAATGAATCTCCTTGACATAAGAAAAATGCGAATTCAAATTTCAGGTGTAGCATTCTTGGATTCTAAAATGATCACCATGTAAGAACATCTGGTTCCGTCACCGCTGACGATCTTGACCTGGCGAGAGGTAATAATAACAAAAAACCAAGTATAAATTCACAAGTAAGATATAGGAAAGCCAGTGTGTAAACAAACCTTATATTTACCTTGTGAAGATAAATAGGCTGTTTCCGGCGATAGAGTACATAATTGGGAAAAGAAAATCTGGTATACCGAGACGTTTGGTCGTGGTTTAATGGTGAGAAATGGTGATTGTCTATTTAGAAATTGACTAGACACTGTATTTGTCACTTTTCTTTATTTAATTGTCAAGCTGAACACTGTGTTTTTGACGTGTAACTAGATAATATTAGGTATTACACTTCTTTTTGTTCATTTTTTCTTCCATTTAACAAAATCCAAGTTTTGTTATATTTAGGAATTACGTACCTCACTTTCCCAATATGTTGGGTGGATTACCCCAATAGGGAAAGCCTACTTTTGAGCTTTCATCAATCATTTTCATTTTCCAGTATAAAAAAGGTGTAAAGAATTATATTGACCAACATTGCATGATTAAAGTTATATTGTAGAGTTGTACCGGATCCAAAATTTAATGTTTATGGATTCCTGTAACGATATTGAGTAAATTTTTAATAGTAACTGGTTTACATTCAAACATTTATAGATATTTAATAAATTTTTGAACACATTTATATTATTTGAACAAAAGCTATTGTATTCACGTGAACTCCTAAGTCGCAAGCTGGATCCGCCCCGGGTTGTACCAAGTAGCACTCATACAGTATATATTGATTATGGCTTTCCATGTGTAGAAAAGAAATCAGCCACAAAACCTGATCGGTCCAACATTCAAGCTTGAGGGAGTTAATGACCCGATTATTTAATGGGAAATTTATAGTGTATAGTCGCAATAGTCGAAAAATATATATTTTCGTATATTAATATAATATACATATTTTATACCATTGGGTATTTAGCTAGTAATTATAATTATTCTCAATCGAGCGCCCAATTATGTTAACAACCCTTATTTAATTAATTCAGCACATTTTAACCTATGCAATGCAACACATTTAAAATTTTGGCTAAAATATAGCCCAAATTAACCCATAGGAACCTTATAAAAAGAAATTGTTTGATATGTTGTATATAGCTATAATAAAGAAAAAAGTTTTGTTAGCTTTGTTTAGCAATTAAATAAACTACAAAAAAAAAAAATAGATAAAGAACTTGATAATAGTTGGGGGATTTTGGTTATGACCTACTATTGTTTAGCATGTCTTAACGTCCATGTTAACCCAGTCAATCTCAACCTAAGTAATGAACCCCCTCCCCTCCCCCCTTCAAAATAGCACGAGCTAGTCAATTTTTAGATTGGTAATTAAAAAATAGTCAGTGTTTGCAAAGTTATTGAAAAATAGCTATTATTTTGGTGCAATACGGAAAGTTCTAGTATGATATACTGGAGATTGGAGTACTTGTTTATGAAATTCCAGCATAATATACTGGAGATTGTAGCACATGTGTATGAACTTCCAGCATATTATGTTGGAACTCCAGCATACGGAAAGTTCCAGCATAATATATTGGAGATTAGAGCACTTGTGTATGGACTTCCAGCATATTATGTTGGAACTTCAGCTAGGACATTATGAAATTCCAGCGCGTTATGCTGGAAGTTCACATGTAAAAAATTCAAACTCCGACATATTATGCTGGAATATTTTCGGATTTTGAACATTGTTTTTGTTTATATTTATCTTTTATATGAAAAGTGACTAAATTTCAATTACTTTTGAAACTATGACTAATTTTCTATTACTATTGTAAATTTGTCTATTTTTAAATTTCTCCTCCTCCTCCCCCATTCATTTATTAACTCAATCCATTTTAATCGGCTAAATTAATCTTATCCGTCTATTTAAGATAAGAGTGTTATTTTAAGATATTTCTACTCTCTATAGACAAATGTGTTAGAAGTATATAATGTTTCACATCGACCGTAGAAGGACCTAAAAAGAGTTTTAAAAGATTTTGAATTACCGCACATTTAGATTTGTATATTCTTGTCCCATAAAATATATTCCCCGTTTCAATTTAGATAGATGAGATAGTTTGATTTGACACGAAGTTCAACAAAAAAGAAGGTTTTTGAAATTTGTGGTCTTAAAAAAGTTTTGTGGAGTCATGATATTTGTGTGGTTATAAAAACTTCTCATTATGAATAAAATGGGTAAAATAAAGAATTTAAAATTGAATTATTTTCAAATTTAAAAATGTATCTTTTATTTTAAATTAACCAAAAAAGGTAACTCATCTATTCCGTTCAAACTTTTATGTATGACTTTTTCATACCCTTTTAGTTTCTTTATTTAAATTCTTGGCTCCACTGATCGTTGTCATCAAGGTCCCCTCCAACTTAGTCCATTCCGCGCATGCTACCGTGGGGCTAACGGTAGTTATCCAATTTACTTCTTTTAACTTTGTTAGAGTTAAGACAATTAAAACTGGGACCAAACTTATGTCACAGTCTATGAGCAATTTGCCTCTGATTTCACCTTTGCGTCATCGTTAGCGTTAGCGTGTATAAATCGAATCGGAAAACAATATCAAATCAAAAAGTCAAATCAAATCAATTAAAATATTTGATTCGATTAGATTTGATTTGATTCGGTATTAAGTAAAAAAATTTAAACCAAACCGATATATAAATAAATAATTTTCATATATACTTGTAAAACTTTATATAGATTTTTTTAAAAAAAAAAATATCTAGAAATATTTGGGATTCTCCTATGGGATTAATATTCAATAGAATATGAAGTGCTCCAATTTATTAACTTTAAATAATGGATTGTATGATTACTTTCCTATCAAGTGTTAGTGAAATGCGTCAATCTCCTTGTTCTTTCATATTCATATGTCAAGATCTATAAAATTCTTATATCTTTTTCGAATTTGAATTTGTATTTCAATAATTTAAAATTAAATAGAACATATCATTATTTACTTATCATATTGATTTTTATGTTTAATTATTAAATTCGATTAAACTTGAAGTGTAGATCAACGAAAAATTATTGTTAGACGATTAAAAGAATAACTATCATGTGTTACTAAGAAAATTCTCCCATAAGAATATTTTAATAAATCATATGTTTGTCAATTTTTATTTTTTATTATATATATATATATAATTTGAAATAATGTTTATGTAATAAAGAAATTCGAAAAATCCAACAAAACCGAACCAATCAAACCGATATAGTTGATTTGGTTTGATATTGATAAAAACCAAACCACCTCGGTCCATGTATACCTTTAGACTCACCATGATCAAGGAAACTTATAATTTAAGACGAGACATTGATAACCAAAGAGATTAACTTAGAAACACCTATGGTTAGATTTTTATACATCGATGATGTAAATAGATTTTTACACTACCGAAATATATTTATTTCTAGCCCTCCGTATAAAGTGTTAATATTTAAAATCTTGAAAAATAAGATAAATTACTAACTACAAGAAATAAAGGTGATTTGATCGTGCAAAGACGGTACACTAGCGGATAATAATTAAACTCTTTAAGCAAAAAAAGTTATTTAGATTAATTTTTTTCATATGCTTGATATCAGCATGGTATGATATTCCTAACTTTATTAAATCGTTGAATTTGTGGTTCTCAAACCAAGGCCGATTTAATTTGTGGTTCATAATGCCATGGCTAATTACATGGCATTGGTTTTACATGGCATTGGATAGAAATTGATTCAGAGTAATTGATTATTTTCATATTGGCATTGGTTTTTTACACCCTATAGAAAACCTTAGTACCCTATTTATTTTAAATAAATACCATTTTAAAATATTACATTCTATAGATAGAAGGTGGGCGTGGCCCCCATGGAGGACAAGATGCGGGAAGTAAGACTCAGATGGTTCGGGCACACTCAAAGGAGGAGCACTGATGCACCGGTGAGGAGGTGTGAGCGACTGGCTGTAGTGGGCACGCGGAGAGGTAGAGGACGACCTAAGAAGTATTGGGGAGAGGTGATTAGACAGGACATGGTGCGACTTAGGATTATTGAGGACATGGCCCTTGACAGGGAATTATGGAGGTCGAGTATTAAGGTTGTAGGTTAGGGGAGAGTTGTAAATATTTCTACAGCACAATAGAGTGAGACTAGCCAGTTAGGAGTTAGACTAAGAATGTCATTGGTCGTCTATTGATGCAGGGCTTTACCTGCTAGTTTTACTATACCAACCATCTTTTTCGTATTTCGTATTCTGTATTTCATATCTCTTGTACTGCTGTTATTTTATTATGCATTTTATGGTACTAATATATCGGCTCCTGTTGCTTTTTGAGCCGAGGGTCTCCTGGAAACAGCCTCTCTACCCTTCGGGGTAGGGGTAAGGTCTGCGTACATATTACCCTCCCCAGACCCCATTCGTGGGATTATACTGGGTTGTTGTTGTTGTTGTATAGATACCTTTTATACTTTATAGCCAAAATATCTAATTATAGTTACATCCTACATTTAAGGCACCATATATGCTAAATAATATTTCTCTCTCTCCTTTTTAGTCTTTTCTCTCACATAATCACAGTAAAATTGACTAACCACGTTCTCTCTCTTTTTGCATACACTTTACTCTTTCTCCCNAAACTAGTTGTATTTTGTTGCATTCAAGAGTTTTATTCAGCTGTATTCAGTTGTATTTTGTTGTATTCAAGTATTTTATTCAGATGAATTAAGTTGTATTTTGTTGTATTCAACTGTATACAGTTCTACTCAACTGTATTATTCATATGTATTTCTCTTTATTCAGCTATAATCTTTATTATGTATCTTTCAAATACAGATTAATGAGGGATCGTTTTAGTTCGTTGAGTTAAATTAGGAGAATATCATGTGATTTGATTTCCTTAGTTCGTGGAGTTAAATTAGGAGAATATCATGTGATTTGATTTCCTTAGTTCGTGGAGTTAAATTAGGAGAATATCATGTGGTTTGATTTTCTTCCATTTTTAACCAGTTTAACCTTCTGTATTTAACGTCAATGCCGCTTGAATACAACTAAATACATGTCAAACTTAGCTGGAACTCCAGTTTTTACGTCTATTTTTTTTGGTTGTATTAATGAATACAACAGCTTAAATACATAAAATACATTATATAAAAACATAAAAGGTATCTATAACACGTAATATAGCAAAGAGTATCT